CCCTAAACCCCATAAAGGAGCCCTTAAACGGATCCTGAAAGCCCGAAGCTTCCCCGCAGAGGCGGCTGCAATGATGCGGCGCCGTGGCTACGAGCTTCTCCAGGTCGTCGGCGGCTCAGAGCATCGGGGATACAGTCTCAGGGTTTAGGGTTCAGGGTTTGGAGTTTAGGGTTTAGGGTTTAGGGGTTAGGGTTTCAGACCAAGTTTAGTCTTCAGGGCTTGGGGTTCCAGGGTTTGGGGTTCCAGGATTTTGGGGTTTAGGGTTTCAGGGTTGAGGGCTTAGGCTCAGGCTTTGCAGCTTTGGGTTTAGGCGGTTTGGGGTTGAGGGTGCATTGGCCTGGCTATTGGGTTTAGGGATTTGGGGGTGAATAAGGGGCCGTAGTCAGGAGACAGAGGGTTCCGGGGTATTTTGTGATTTATCTTCATAGTGGCGAAGAAGGGGATATAAGAATCCTGCGGTTTAACGTTTAAAGCTTACGGTTTGAAGCTTAGTCTCCATGAGCTCCATGGTTTGCGGACTTGAGGCTACGGCTCTAGGGGGAGGGTCATGGAGCCCCAAATTAGGACAGCCCGGCCAGGAGCACCTCTTTGCTGTCTTTGCGCTGGGGGCGTTGGTGTCGGTGTGGCGGGAGGCTGGACCGGAGCTGAGGGAGGCATACGGAGTTTTTTTGAATGAGTATAGTCATGGTATGTATTGTTGCAAGCTTGAAAACACATGCAGCAGACAGTAGCAACAGAAAGCTTAATTGCAACAAGGATTAACAGCAAACAAAGTTACTAAATGGTGAGGACAAACGTGGTTGCTCTTGAGCAGCCCTTGCTTCCAATCCATCTCACTGCTCCGAATGCAGCCCCAAACCCCGAACCCATGGCGGCCCATGCCTATGCCGCGAGGGATTAATTTTGTGGTTTCGAGTTTCGGCAGCGTGGTTGTTGAATCCTTACCCTGATCGTGTGTATGGACTGGGACTTCAACACGAGCTGAAACCCCAAACCTTACAACCTAAAACCCTAAACCCCCAAGCCCCGTAAGCCCTCAATCCCAAACCCCTTAAGCCCTAAATCCTAAACCCTACGATGCTGACGATGGGTTACTGTACACAGGCACCACCTGAACTGTCAACCAGGCTCGGTCCAACCACGGTGAGCATGGAGTGGAGGATTTCGAGGTGTGGCTGCCAATGCACGTGGGAGCCGGAGTGGGTAGACAGAGTATTCTTTCAATGTAGTGGTATCTTTCTGTTATAGCTATTCTATATAACTATGTGCGTATATATATATATATATATATGTATATATGTATATATATATATATATGTATATAGTAGCTTTTTTACATATCTGTTCATTCTCGTATGAGCTGTTCCAGCTACCCAGTTCCAGTTCTTGCACGGCCTTTTCGGAACTTTGGGCTTTTGGGCCTACCTTCCATCGGCGATGCCTTCAATCCTCCAGGTCGAGTAGGGTTTAGGGTTTAGGGTTTAGGGTTTAGGGACGATTACAATGTCAATGCGTGCCGTCCACAAGTAATCCGGATCATGGCGCTGCATCTGTTTTGACCCCATGAAAAATCCAAACCCTAAACTCTAAATCCCGCAACATCCGAAGTCCAGAAAGACCCTTAGACCATCTTAAGCCCCACAAACTCGAATCCGCCCTAGCCCTCAATCTCACACCGTTTGGGGCTTCACTAGTTGAGGACTCACCCTATAGCCTTTCCTCCTTTAGATTCAAGTACTTCAGAGTCCCAGGACGAACCCTTCCGAAAGCCATCAGAAAAGGGCGAACTCAGGGTTTGGAGTTTAGGGTTGATGGTTCGACTGACTCCTGTAACTCTAGAAAACCCTAAACCCCTAGGGTTTAGGGTTTAGGGCCCTCAACACTAAACTCCAAACCCTAAGTCCTAAACCGTAGTCAGTTCATGCCAACGCTTGCCGGACGCCGACAGCTCGAATCGGCATCTGCCACCGGGACGCGCATCTCCGACTAGGTAGCAAGTTGGATACGGAAGCCTAGGACCACTCCCTAAGCCCTAAGCCCTAAGCCCTGCAAGTGCATGACGGACAAATCCTCCACACAAAATGAGTCAAAACTGAAGTATGCCAACACATGCGCCTCGAACCCTCGCAACCCGAAAACCTCAAAATCTTCATCACCCTAAACCCTAAACCCTAAAGCCCTAAACCCAAACCCCTAAAGCCCTAAACCCAAACCCCTAAAGCCCTAAACGTTCAACATCACTGAACTGAACCCCTCGACTGCTATAGTCCATACACTTCAGGCTCCTCAGTCCCAAGACCTCAAGCCGGACTCAAGCCCCAAAACTCGAATTACCGTTCCTTTTTGGGGGGATACCTTATAAAATCCTTAGTATTTATTGGGTTAAACCAAAAAAAGGAACTACAATGGAGACTATAGGTAGAGCCGAACTTCCTGAAACTACGACCCCTAAACCTGTTTCAAGCTTGTTCCGTCCGGTTTTTCACCGCAATGTTGCGCATCAGGGCACTGTCAGGAGAGGAGGTGGCGAGCATGCCGGCGGAGGAGTTGACCGACGTGCGGGAGTTGAAGTTGCAACTACATCGGCGGCACGGCTTTCCAACCAGATTCAGACAAAGGCTGTTTTTTTGTGGCCATCCTCTGGATGATTCTGCCGAGCTGGACTCACCTGTGGAACTGGAGCTGGTCTTGCTTACATATTCTGACGCATCCCACACGCAAGCAGCCGAGCTGGTGACTTCCGCTGCGAACGGCTCTGCATCGCAGGTCTCTAACCCTTCAAGAGGTTCAGGGTTTGCGGGTTGACGTGCGGGCATGTTGAGGCGAAAAGGGTGCAAGGGTAGAGGTTCGTCGTTCCCAGACTGTTCTGTCCGATATCATATTATATTTTCTTATAAGTTAAGACTCGAAGCTTTCAGGTTGAATCACTGTTCTGTAAGATGTCATATTATAGTACTTTCTTATAAGTCAAGCTTCGAAGCTCTCAGGTTGAATCCATGCTGCAGCTGCCCCAGAACCCGGATGTGGCCGATGCACAGGGCATACATCCGCTGATGGCAGCTTCAGCCTACGGCCATGTGGAAAGTCTGCGTTTGCTGCTGGAGGCCGATGCAAACACGAACTTGGCGAACAACGATGGCATCACGGCCCTGATGGCAGCTTCTCTACAAGGCCACATTGAGGCCCTGCGCGTGCTGCTGGAGGCCGATGCCAACACGAACCTGGCGAACAACAACGGCGACACTGCCCTGACGACAGCTTCTTACCCAGGCCATGTTGAGGTTGTGCGCACTCTGCTGAATGCCGGCGCCGAAAAGAACTTGGCGAACAACGGTGGCATCACGGCCTTGATGTTAGCTTCCTTCGGAGGCCACGTTGAGGTTGTTCGGTTGTTGTTGGATGCAGATGCCGGCAAGGACTTAGCCAGCACTTCCGGCAATACCGCTCTGATGCTGGCTTCTGGAACTGGCCATGTTGAAGTTGTTCGCATGCTGCTGGATGCCGGTGTTGACAAGACTTTGGCAAACAACAGCGGTGCCACGGCCCTGATATCAGCTTGCTTCCAAGGGCGAGTTGAGGTTGTTCGCTTGCTGCTGGATGCAGGTGTCGACAAGAACATCACCAGTATTGCCGGCCATACTGCGCTGATGATGGCTTATGCTGGAGAAGTGCACGTTGAAGTCGTGCGCGTGCTGCTCGATGCCGGTGCCGAAAAGAACTTGACAAACAACAACGGAGACACGGCCCTTACATTAGCTTCTGGAGAAGGCCGTGTTGAGGTTGTTCGTTTGTTGCTGGATGCATGTGCTGACAGGAACTTTGCAAACAACGCTGGCAACACGGCCCTGAAGCTAGCCTCTCAAGAAGGGCACATTGAAGTCCTTCGTTTGCTGCTGGATGCAGGTGCCAACAGGAATCTTGCCAACTTCAACGGCGAAACTGCCCTGATGGCAGCTTCTTACTTAGGCCATGTTGAGGTTGTGCGCATGCTGCTAGCTGCCGGTGCCGAAAAGAACTTGGCGAACAACGATGGAATTACGGCCTTGATGGCAGCTTCATTCGGAGGCCACGTTGAGGTTGTTCGCTTGTTGTTGGATGCAGATGCCGGCAAGGACTTAGCTAGCACTTCCGGCAACACTGCTCTGATGCTAGCTTCTGGAAATGACCACGTTGAAATCGTTCGTGTGCTGCTGGATGCTCGTGCCGATACGAGCTTGACAAGCAAGAATGGCATCACAGCATTGGTGGTAGCTTCTGGCGAAGGTCACGTCGAGGTTGTACGTTTGTTGCTGGATGCAGGTGCCTATACGAACTGGGCAAACGACAATGGCATCATGGCCCTGATGGTAGCTTCCGACGAAGGCCACGCTGAGGTCGTTCGCATCCTGTTGGATGCCGGCGCAGACACGAATTTGGCAACCAAGAATGGCACCACGCCCCTGATGGCAGCTTCTTGCAGAGGTCACGTTGAGGTTGTCCGCATGCTGCTGGGTGCCGGTGCAGACAGAAACTTGGTAAGCAACAGCGGTTACACCGCCCTGATGGCAGCCTCTTGCAAAGGTCACGTTGAGATTGTTCGCATGCTGCTGGGTGCCGGTGCAGACACAAACTTGGTAAGCAAAAACGGCACCACGCCCCTGATGGCAGCTTGTCGCAAAGGGCACGTTGAGGTCGTTCTGATGCTGTTGGATGCCGGCGCAGACAAGAGCTTAGCAAACAAGGATGGCAGCACGGCCCTGATGCTAGCTTTTGAGTTTGGACAAGCAGAAGTGTTGGGTTTGCTCCTGGCTGCCGGTGCCAATTTCTCCACCAAGAGACGGTGCCACATCTCTGAGATCAGCTCCTCGAAGAGGCAACGACAAAGTTCTGCAGCATCCGAACGATAGCGGCATCGTGACACTAACGAAGCTTTTCTCCCAGCTTCTGCTGGGGCTGTCGCGTGCCGATGCTGACAGAGATGGAGCCGTCAGGCCCGGATGGAAAACCAGGCGCTCTTCGCCAAGACATGCGTGGTGTTAGGGACCAGTGCAAAGGACGCTGCAGGGGAAGTTTCCAGCCCTAGAGCAAGTTGCAGCCCATGTGTGGACCCGAAACAACCCTAAGTAGGCCCCAAAACCCTATTCTAATAATTAAGGCCCCTAGATTAGCAACCCCTCAAAGCAGCCTATAACAATCCACTACATCCCCAATTGGAACCCTAGGCCAGCACTTTTTTTGTTATCATCAGTTTCGATGTTCCTAAACCCTAAACCCTAAACCCTCAACCCTCAACCCTAAACCCTAAGCCCGAAACCGTAAGCAGAGTGAGAGGCCTGGCGTCGGGGGTGGTTTTGCTCACCCGCCGCGCCTTTCCTCCTCTCGCTTGAGCAGGTGCCACGGTTTTAGGGTTTAGGGTTTAGGGTTTAGGGTTTAGGGTTTAGGGAATTCTCCTACCCGCGGGTCAGATTGCAAGTTTTAAGGCTGTGGAGAGGGAAATATGCAAGCATGGGTTCATCCGGAACAGACCGGTTTAGGGGTTTGGGTTTTAGGGTTTAGGGACGAAGTGTTTGCCTTTCTGAGTTTTTTGGCTCTTCTGAGCCGTGTTCGGATCAGTTTCCTCGGCCTTACTCGCATCGGCACCCCTGACCAACCCAAAAGGCCAGTATATACTACATAGCTTTTATGCCTTATATACCTTATATACCCGTTAATTATCCCACTTTAACCGAAACCGGTACAGTCTTGCACCTCAAACCCTAAACCCGGAGCCCTAAACAGATCATAAAGCCTAAGCCCCAACCCCTGGGAGCTGGCTTCCTGAAGCTTACCGCATGCTGACCGCGAGCCCCGAACAAAAAGTCCTGAACCTAAAAGTTTAGGGTTTAGGGTTTAGGGCCATACCCAAAGACCCTAAACCTCTCACCTTGAAGCTCCAACCCGAAACCCCTGTTCCTAAATCCTAAACCTTAAGCCCTCAACCCTCAAAATCCGTACACCCTAAGCAACAAACGCCAAACCCGCAACCCGAAACCCTTAAATCCCTAAGCCGTGCAGCTTGCTGCTCCGGACCAGCGGTGGCTGGGCCTTGGGGCACTTCCGCCCATGCAGGTCCGGTCCTGGTCCTGCACAGCTGGAGGGTTCAGGGTTTAGGGGCTTTTGGGTTTAGGGTTTAGGGTTTAGGGGTTTAGATTTTAGGGTTTTTGGGGTTTTGGGGTTTTGGGGTTTTGGGGTTTGGGATTAGGGTTTTAGCGTTTAGGGTTTAGGCTTCAGGCTTTCGGGTTGAGGGCGTTTTCAGGGATTCTGGTTCGGGCTGGAACAGGGGCCGGAATATTCGTAGGTGGTCCTGACTATCATGCCTTCGGTTCCTTGCTAGATTCAAGTAAACTATAAAGTATACCCCACAGCCCTCCTTATTAAGGCCACCTTTCTAGTTTCGGGTTTGGGAGCTTCAGTCGGTACTGTTTTTTAATCAGGGTTTGGGGTTGGATTTAGGGTTCAGGGCTGAGGGTCCCCTAAATCCTAAACCCTGGACCCTAAACCCTAAACCCTAAACCCTGGACCCTAAACCCTAAACCCTAAACCCTAAACCCTAAACCCTAAACCCTAAACCCTGGACCCAAAGAGGGTTTATGGTTGAAAGTGCATACCTCGGCACCTCAACCCAGCAGTCCGCGCCCCTGAACACCACTCAAGGGTCCGTCAAGGTGTGACGAAGATCACCCTAAACCTCAAACCACTAACCCCGGATGTAGGTTACTATTTTGGAGAGTATATGGCTACTAGGTACATGGACATGGACCCTAAACACCAACATCTAGTCTCCTAAACTCCTAAAAAGCTTCTATCCCCAAAAACCGTATAGCACACAATTCCATATGAAGCCCAAACTCCTAAACACTTTAAAACCCCAGACCCCAAAACCCTCAGCAAAAGGACAGACGCACAAGTCCTCGACTCCTAGAGTCCTAAACCCTGACAGGATCCCGTTTAGAGGATCCCCTTTAGAATCCTTACAGGAACCTAAACCCTAAACCCTAAACCCTAAGAGCCTTAGCCCCGAAACTGCCAGACTGCCTCTGCGTCGCCTCCGGCCGTCTGTGCCAGCCTCGCTGCGTGGGGACTCCGGAGTGGACTGGAGGCCGGTTTAGGATTTAGGGTTTAGGGTTTAGGTTTTTAGGGTTTAGGGTTTTAGGGTTTAGGGTTTAGGTTTTTAGGGTTTAGGGTTTTAGGGTTTAGGATTTAGGAACTATTGTTTAGGGTTTAGGTTTTTTGGGTTTAGGGAGGCCAGCAATCTGCAGAGATTTTGTCTTTTAGGGCCTGTTAGGGTTTTAGGATTTCTATACCCACTATAAACAGAATCAGCTGTAATCTTATTGAATCCATTGTAATCTTCAAGCCACACAAATCTTAAAGCCACGAACCCCAACACCCAAATCTTGTAGCGAGTCGAACACCCAAAGTTCTGAAGTACGTATAGGGTTTAGGGTTTAGGGTTTAGGGTTTTACAGGAACCTGGCACCAATTGGCCCGAAGCTGCTAGCCCTTGCCTGCGCGGAATAGATCGAAGACCCGGAGATATCATAGGCACAGACCTGGCACAAGTGCAAGTCTTCAAGGTTTTCGGGGTTTGGGGATAATGCCGCGTCACTCAGAACCTCGAGTGAATCGCAGGTCACAATTCCGGGTGCTAGCATAAACACACAAATAAATAAATATCAATATATATATATATATGTATATGTAGCACTTTCCTAATTAGGGCTCATGGCTCAGGGTTTAAGCTCTGGGTTCACGTGTCAAACAAGCAGAGCTTACAGGCTTTCAGATTGGGGTGACCTGGAGTAACTACTATTTGCAAAACCCCTGGTCCGCAGCATTGAAAAGTGGCTTAAGTCTACCGCTCTTCAAGTGTGGACGAAGACGAGATCGTGAACAAGCTGCTAGCTCGTGGGGCGGGCAAGAAGCTGGCCCGAATGCTCTGTTCGATGTGGGACAGAAGCTTTAGGCATGAATCAGAGCACCTTAGCTTAAACAAACTGCTGGGACGTGCACTTCGATCGAGCCTGAGGGGGTCTTTCCTCTTTGATTATTTGCAGTACCGGATGTACTTGATCGAAGACGACTTTGAGAAGAAGGTACAGCCCGGAGACAATTGGCTTACCAATCGAAGAAACGAGAACACTCCTGGCTGCAGGTGGTCATGAGCACAAAGGTTTAATATTCAGAGCCCAAGATTTTAATACGTATAAAGGTTTGCACAGGGTTCTAGAAAGGGTTCGTATAAGGGTCCTATCCTGGTCGCTTTGGGTTCGGGGTTTAGGCCGTAGGATTCCTGGCTCTTGGGGCGGGTCTGGGGCCTCGAATTTCGGGCGGGGGGGGGGGGGGGGG